AAAACAGTTTCTTTAGCTCTTCCAACCCCTTTAACACAAACATGTAGCCATGACAAAAGTGAGAAATTTAGTTCTCACCTTGCCCCCACTTCTCTTTCAGAAGAGTGGAAGACTCCTACAAGCATACCTGCATCAAGAGCTTGCTTCAAAAACATGTCTCCACTGGCTGTGCTGGAGGCCAGCTCTCCCCCAGACTAATACTGAAATGTAGAGGTTTGCTCTCACCTCTCCCTCCGCCTAATGCCCTACTCTCTGGCACTAGGTATTTCCTCTTCAGCTGCCAATACCTTGAAGTAAGCCCCAAAGAAAACAGCAAACAGTTAAAATGGTACCAGTGACTATTCCACCAACGCAAACATAAAAGCCAGGAAATCCCTAGTTAAACTGTCAGCCCTCCCTTATGGGCTACCGCTATGATTTTGCCTTCTCCACATTACCTCACCCACAAAACACACACACTTCCTCCCTCCCGCTTCACACAAGACAGGGCAAATTTCACTCCAGCACGTGGAGTGGTTTCAAGCAGAGGTTTTTCTGCCAGACTGGAATGTCAGGTCGCCCCTGTGCTGCATTAAAGCTGATGGTTGGCATGTCTGGTGCAGGTTCTCAGCTGATCACACGGTTAACTGAGCTGGGCTGAAGGAAGGACTGCTGGGCTGACGGTTTGCAGAATCTGTTATGCAATGGAACAAGATGGGAAAGGGTGGGTTTTCGTCCTAATTCATGCTGTTGTCAGTCAATGATTTGAGAAGAGGCAGGTGGCCATAGGACACCTGTAGAGATGGGCAACTTGACGTGATGATGAAAAAGTCATGGTGGTGAACTTTTCAGCTATTCCTTACAACTAACTAGGGCTTCTCTGGCCTCAGAGCTTTGTTAGTAGGATTAAGGCTCAAACAGTCTTAATTGGTTTGTAATAATGTTTGTTTGAAGGCTTATAATGTTAGGCAGTAGAAAAAGTATCAAGTGCCAAATATTGTATTAGCTTTGTACAGCTCTTTCATTGTCAAAGAGCAGCTTATGTGTTAACTAATGAATCTCCATACACATCATCACAAGGCAGACAAGTAACACCCTTATTTTACAGCTGGAGACACAGAGGTCATTGACTTCACAAATTCATAACAGAATAAGAATTCCCAGTCAGAAGTTCCTTGCTCGGTTCAAAGCAGTAACCCTGCCTCCAAGAGCCACCAGTCTTTGCTACAAAGCCACCAAGCCATAGCATCCTGTTAGAGCACTGGTAAAACTAAGATTAAGTTGATTCCTCACTCCCTCAGTACCATCCTCAGTTCACACAGTTGTGCCTAAAATTCAGAGGCAGCCTTAGTGACATCTCACCTTCCATCTTTTCTGTGACTGCACCCAACCATTCTGTCCTTCTTAGCTTACAGGAATGCATTTCATTCTTTCAGTAGGAAACTTCTTCTCCTTGCACATATGCTGCAAATTCTTCCATTCCCAACCTGTTCCCTTCTGCCACTGTACATAAACTTCACCCACTCCTGTGGCTTACAGTTTACAATGGAGCATCAGCACGTGGTATTTATGCATCTAACCCTTCTTCTATCCAATGTCTCAACCCCCTAACACTTGCCATCTTTCCACCAGGATATTATTCCTCCCCCACCTCAAACTAAGGCACAGCTTTCATTTGACCATAACATTGTCACAATGTTTTTTCTACCAGGCTCAACCTCAGCGTTTATTTCCCATCTTCTGCTTCCATGCTCCTTTCCCTCCAGACTTTCACCAAATACAGTCATTGCCTCAGCACCAAACACCATCTCTTCCAACACTGCCACCCTACCCTACAATACAGCTGTCATCATATCTAATTCAGCTTCCAACCTGACACCACATTTTTCTTGCACTCACTCCTTGATTTCAAATTTCTAGTCCTTATACAAAGACTTGATAACTCATTTTCTCCTACAAGATCTTCCTCCTACTGACTTAGCTACTCCCAAGGCTCTCTCCTATACAACCTGATTTTTCCCCACCCATTGACTTTATACCAATGTTCAACCCATCTCTTCCACTAGTCAAGCCTATCTGAAAATATATTTTCACAATTTTTTAATTTTATTTATTTATTTATAGCAACAACAGCAAAAATACTGCTGTATCAGGGGCATCTCTTCATTCATCAGCCTGACCTAGGCTGGAAGCTCATGGAGGCAAGAGCCACATCTCATCTATTGGTCGTACTGACTATGCTGTCTGCACTCAATACGATGATATCATCTGACAAGGTTTTCACATGTTTACAACTTGGCATAAATAATTTGTGCTGAGATTTTGCAAGGACTCTGGCAAAAAGCAATTCAAGTATAAACAAAAATTTAAACTCAAGTCTTAAGTCAAAGCAGTTGCTATAACTGATTTGCAGATACAGTTTGATAGTTAGACAAGTAACAGTTGAAAGTATCTTTGCAAATATTTTGATTTCTGCCAAAGTTGGTCTCTTAGACAGATGGTCATTTGCATGGAGCGTGGAAGGGATTCTAGTGCAGGGACAGTTAAAACAGTCTTGCTATTGAAGCTGAACACATGGACTCTGGCTCTTATTCAGAATGAAACTGCATACAGGCCACACCCACCATCAGACCATGCTTGTCAATGCCCCAAGCAAGACACAGGGGTAATGGAGAAGGAAAGTGCTAGACAACATCTAGAGTAATACCCAAATGCACTCCCGCAGTTTACTAATGTACAGGGCAAAAGGTTTTAGTCTTATGTAGGAATTAGTCTTGCCAGGAATTAGTTTTGTGTAGACTTGCTGGAGGGCTGGTCAGTCCACAGCCTGCCCAAATACTTACTTGATTTACAGTCTCTGGAAGTCGCTTGAGCCTAAAGGCAAATACATAATTTATAAAAGGTATTTACACAAGCTATTTTAAGTCAGTGTATATTTGCACAATAGTACACAACAGCCCAAGAGGGGGCATTGTGGTCTACTGTTCAGATCTCCTACTAACACAAATGCTATTTTTAAGTCTTACCATACAATCCAAATTAACAAAAACTTGCAGAGATTACCTGCAAGCAGAAGTCAATTTAAGAACAGAACACTGAGCTTGGCCTACTACAGAAAGGCCAAAAAGCAGTCTTTGCTACTCCTGTACAATGCAACGAGTCAATGTGACAGCCTAGTTGAACAGTGGCAGATTTAACAATATGTTGCACGACAGATACCATCACAGGAGCAGAGCTGTGCAACTTAACCACAATCAAAGGTCAGAGAACTCCAACATCCAAAACTGGAGTAGCTTAATTTTATGCACCAATGCATACAAAAAAGCAACTAATTTAAAAATAAAGAGAGAAGGAAAAGTCACGCCAGAAACTTGGTACAAAACCACAAACTGTCAGATTTACATATGTTCTTGTCTCTAAATCCACTCCAGCAAAAGAAGCCAAAATTAGACTGCTTGCAGTAAGGAGTATTCTGGATTCTTAAATTTTCCCTTCTAAAAGCACACAGTATGATTATGTTGAGGAAAGTTCCATCTAGTCACTTCATGTGCTAGTGCCAATAGGGAAATCTAGAGTCCAGAACCATAGAAATCTGCACTTGTGTCCCTCCCTCTGCTTGTGTCAAAGACAGAAAAGGTCAAATACAGCTAATACTTAAAGCATTAAAAAAAAAAAAAAAA